GTTGGTTGTGGCATGGCCTCCATTTATTTATTTATTTATTTATTTCAGGTACTTATATAGCGCCGTCAATTTACACAGCGCTTTACATATATATTGTACATTCACATCAATCCCTAACCCTCAAGGGGTGTACAATCTAAGGTCCCTAACTCACATACATACATACACATATATATATAATTGAGACAGGAGCTAATTAACCTACCAGCATGTCTTTGGAGCGTGGGAGGAAACCGGAGTACCCAGAGGAAACCCACGCAGGCACAGGGAGAACATGCAAACTCCAGGCAGGTGGTCACGTGGGTGGGATTCGAACCAAGGACCCTAGTACTGCCAGGCGGAAGTGCTAACCATTTAGCCACTGTGCTGCCCACTTCCGTTGAATGAGTCCCTTTGTGGCGGGCGGGACTACCTGTCAAACGCGACAGAGAGAATCAGTTTTGCCAGGCCACTATGCAGAGCATTGCGCCCACAGCATGTATATACTCCCTACAGCTGCCTTTGCAGATTAGGCAGTTGGTAAAAACATGCCTCAACCTCCTGTTTTTACCGTGCCCTAACCACAAGTGTAGACTTAGCCTAAGACAGCATTCAAGACTTCAAGCGAAGTCTGATTTTTGTCATGACAGTCACCAGAGGACTCTGCAATGATGTAGGGGTTGAAGGATGGATTTACAGCTTTTGGGGGGCATAGGCACCTGAAGTGTTGATTGCCGAAGAGTCTCACTGAGGCTGCCACTGGAGAGATGAGTCTAAACATTCTTGGCACTGATAGAAGAAAGAGGAAATGGGAGATGGAGACCCGAATTCAGGTCTCACCCCCTTGTTTCAGGGATTTATTGATGCCACACCCCTTAATAATAAGACACTGAAAATAACATCCCTAACTGAAAAAACGAAAGGGGTTTTGTAGGCGCCATAGCACAAAAATAATCAAAACATATGTAACAAATACAACTTTATTGATAACATTGAAACCACTATTGTGGTAATAGGAATTGAGCACATAATACATTCATCTTAAAAACTTGTATTGTTGATAACAAGGATAAATGGTATAAATCACACCAAAATAAGGCCTAAGGTAGCCTGGGTATCATAACTGGCATAGTTTGTGCGAGTTGATACTTTGCTTATATTCTGTGACGCGCTTCACTTAACACTTCTTCAGGGAGACAAAGTATAAAGCTCTGAAATTGTACAAAACAAGCCAGAAAATGAAAATACACACATTCTTGGACTGCAGGGACCTTACTTCTATTATTATTATACAGGATTTATATAGCGCCAACAGTTTGCTCAGCGCTTTACAATATAAAGGGAGACAATACAGTAACAATGCAGTTCAATACAAGAGGGTTATGAGGACCCTGATCCTGGGAGCTTACAATCTAAGAGATCTAGATTTTACTTAAAGTGTTACTAAACCCACAACAGTAAAATCAGTCTGCATATGCAGTAAAGCATGCTTGTTATACTCACTGTGGAACCTAAGGGGTTAATCCTCTGCATTGTGTAAAAAGACCGGTTGATTCTGACTTCTCTGCCCCTCCTCTTGTTCAAATGTCCACCTGATAAGACAGACTGAACCCGTAGTCACATGCACATGCTCAGTTTGGTGAGTATTGCTAGAGAGGTTATTTTTTTTTTCTTGTTAAAATGCTTGTTATACTTACTGGGGAACATTATGGGTTAATCTTCTGCATTGGGTAAAAAGGCTGTTTGATCCTTTCTTCTCTGCTCCTCCTCTTGTTCAAATGTCCACGTCATATCTCCTGATAAGACAGACTGAAGCCTTAGCCATTCTGCACATGTTCAGTTTATTGTGTTTTGCTAGAGAGGTTTTTTTTTCTTGGGAGAGTGCATGTGATCAGCACAGGGCCAATCAGCACTGTCTAGACAGAGGTCAGGGGTTCTGCATCCTCCCAGAGCAGAAAGAAAGCTCCTCCTACAAGCTTTAACCAGTGCTCTGATGGACAGTGATAGAAGTAACAAGACTGCTCTAACTGCTGATGAAAAAAGGTATTTAGCAGTTTATATTTACTAAAATAATTGCATTTCTATATTGTGCGTACTGTGGGAGACCAGATATAGTGAATGCAGGGTCCAGGGTTTAGTAACACTTTAAAACTGACTGGGTTACATAGTTACATAGTTAGTCTGGCTGAAAAAGACAAAAGTCCATCCAGTTCAACCATTAAAAAAAAAAAAAAAGTTATAATCCTATACCCACAGTTGATCCAGAGGAAGACAAAAAAAACTGCAAATCATGATCCAATTTGCTCCTGCTGGGAAAAAAATCCCCGAGAGGCAATTGGATATTCCCTGGATCAACGTTACCTATAAATGTTAGTATCCAGTTATATTCTGTGTATCTAAGAAAGAATCCAGGACTTTTTTTTAAAGCAATCCACGGAGCTGGCCAGAACCAACTCTTGGATGGCTGTAGGTTTGTGAATTATTTTTGTATCTGAACTTGTCTTTCTCCTATCTATAAAACATTCTGACAATCATAGAACATGTTAAAGGCCGGTACTTTATGATTAATATTATTACCAAATTCTTCCTTTGCCACAGCTGGCCATTCCTGCCGTGCCGCTGGGCCTCCACCGAAGTCCTTAGAGGAAGGTTACTTTGAGTTTGCTCCTTGCCGGTGACGTAATGTCCATGCCTTTTATCAGCAAGTCTAGAAAGAAATTTGAAGACTCACTTGAGCGTGAAAATACATTGCACTATCGGTTTGTTATAGTTAACAACTGTTCCCTCATTGTCACTGTGGCATTCGTATTAAAATAATCAAATCAGCTTTATCCAGGATTTAAATGGACCCTCTGCGAGGGCCCCCCATGCCTGCCGTCATTTCCAAGGTGCACAGTTGCTTTTTAAGCCATTAGCCGTGGCTATTCTTGTAGCCCCAATGTGCCCCAACACACAGCTCTTGTAAAGTTTCACTGCCAGTGAATAGGCTGGAGTCCAGGCGTCATTAGGTATGAGAAATGAGGAATACATGGCTGTTCAGGGGGAATTTCACAGACCATTGATCACAGGCTGCTCCAGTGGCTTCTAACACCAGCTGCAAGGCTCGTGCGGCCCAGCCAAGACAAAAGCACAAAGCTTGGCGCTAAGAAAATGTTGACAGCTTGTTGGTAGTGGCAGAGACGAGCTGTGTGAGGCTTGGCACAATAACAACATGTGGAAGTACAAACAGCTTTTTGTAGGACTTCTTTTTTTTCTTAATTTCATACTGGATGGATTTGGGTATCTTTATTGGATAAACAAAAAAATAATTATTTATTTTCTCCGTGTGGATTAGAAAGTTGCACAAAAAAAAAATAAAAATAGAATATTATTGAAGAAGTAAAGTAAATGTATTTTGTCCTCATCTATAATATGGTTGGTTTCAACTGGAACAAAAATTGAGCACTGGTCTGTAATGCAACCCATTATGTATGTATATGTATTGACTATTGTAACTCCCCTCCTCATTGGCCTACCTCCTCGCAGGCTATCCCCTCTTCAGTCTGTCATGAATGCTGCTGCCAGACTCATCCACCTTACTAACCGTTCCACATCTGCCACCCCTCTCAGCCAATCCCTCCACTGGCCTCCACTTAGTGTCCTCCATCCCTCTCTGCCAATCCCTCCACTGGCCTCCACTCAGTGTCTTCCATCCCTCTCTGCCAATCCCTCCACTGGCCTCCACTTAGTGTCCTCCATCCCTCTCTGCCAATCCCTCCACTGACCTCCACCCATCTCTGCCAATCCTCCTCCACTGGCCTCCACTCAGTGTCCTCCATCCCTCCCTACCAATCCCTCCACTGGTCTCCACTCAGTGTCCTCCATTCCTCTCTGCCAATCCCTCCACTGGCCTCCACTCAGTGTCCTCCACCCCTCTCTGCCAATCCCTCCATCGGCCTCCACTTAGTGTCCTCCATCCCTCTCTGCCAATCCCTCCACTGGGCTCCACTCAGTGTCCTCCATCCCTCTCTGCCAATCCCTCCACTGGCCTCCACTCAGTGTCCTCCATCCCTCTCTCTGCCAATCCCTCCAATGGCTTCCCAGTTGCCCAACTGATAAAATTCAAAACATTAACAATAACATATAAAGCCATTTATAACTCTGCTCCAAATTACATCAACAATCTTGTCTCCAAAAATCACCCCAAACCATCCTCTCCCCTGCTCGCATGACCTCCTGCTCTCTTGCTCCCTTGTCTCCTCCTCCCATGCTCATCTCCAGGACTTCTCCAGAGCCTCCCCATCCTCTGGAACTCTCTACCCCAATCTATCCAACTATCGCCTACTCTGCCAACTTTTTGCAGATCTCTGAAAACCTATCTCTTCAGGGAAGCCTCTCCTGCCAAATCTTCTATTTCTCCTATCAGTTCACCCCCACAGTTATTACCTTTTGTACCACCAGCCCCTCCCTCTTAGATTGTAAGCTCCCAGGATCAGGCCCTCCTAACCCTCTTGTATTGAACTGTATTGTTGCTGTATTGTCTCCTGTTATATTGTAAAGTGCTGAGCAAACTGCTGGTGCTATATAAATCCTGTATAATAATAATAATAATAATAATGTATGACTGGACATTTACACTTGTAGTCATTTTAATTTGTTTCTTTTTTTCACAGCTCTTACCTGTCAGGGGGCGTTTTACAGAGTAGATAAAATTATTCACATCAGTCACTGCCACAGAGAAGCTTACAGTCTAATACACTTAGCACATTCTAGATTGCTAGACTCTGTGTCATGTGACCAGGGTCAGTGAAGAAATATTAATTAACACCTTCTCCTTACACATTTGTATATTAAAGTGTTACTAATCCTAGGACCTTGCATTCACTATATCCGGTCTCCCTGGACCCTGCATTCACTATATCCGGTCTCCCTGGACCCTGCATTCACTATATCTGGTCTCCCCGGACCCTGCATTCACTATATCCGTTCTCCCCCGGACCCTGCATTCACTATATCCGGTCTCCCAGGACCCTGCATTCACTATATCCGGTCTCCCCGGACCCTGCATTCACTATATCTGGTCTCCCCGGACTCTGCATTCACTATATCGGGTCTCCCGGACCCTGCATTCACTATATCTGGTCTCCCCGGACCCTGCATTCACTATATCCGTTCTCCCCCGGACCCTGCATTCACTATATCCGGTCTCCCAGGACCCTGCATTCACTATATCTGGTCTCCCCGGACCCTGCATTCACTATATCTGGTCTCCCGGACCCTGCATTCACTATATCTGGTCTCTCCTCCCGGACCCTGCATTCACTATATCTGGTCTCCCCGCACCCTGCATACACTATATCTGGTCTCCCCAAACCCTGCTTTCACTATATCTGGTCTCCCTGGGCCCTGCATTCGCTATATCTGGTCTCCCTGGGCCCTGCATTCACTATATCTGGTCTCCCAGGACCCTGTATTCACTATATCTGGTCTCCCCGGACCCTGCATTCACTATATCTGGCCCCAAAGTATACACAACATGGAAATGCAATGATTTTAGTAAATATAAACTGCTAAATACCTTTTCTCATCAGAAGTTAGAGCAGTCTTGTGACTTCTATCAGTGTTCAGCAGAGCACATGTTAAAGCTTGTAGGAGGATCTTTCTTTCTGCTCTGATGTAGAACCCCTGACCTCTGTCTAGACCAGGGGTGGGCAAACTTTTTGACTTGAGGGCCGCAATGGGTTCATATATTGGACCCGGGGGCCGGACCAAGAGTAGATGAATGATGTGTATGTGTCATTCATAGTAAGTATAGTAATATTCCCCATATAGTAAGCATAGTAATTCATCCCCCATATAGTAATTCATCCCCCATAGTAATTATCCCCCATATAGTAATTCATCCCCCATAGTAATTCATCCCCCATATAGTAAATCATCCCCATATAGTATAATTCATCCCCCATAGTAATTCATCCCCCATATAGTAATTCATCCCCATAGTAATTTCATCCCCCCATATAGTAATTCATCCCCATATAATTAATTCATCCCCCATAGTAATTCATCCCCCATATAGTAATTCATCCCCCATAGTAATTCATCCCCACATATAGTAATTCATCCCCCATATAGTAATTCATCCCCCATAGTAATTCATCCCCCATATAGTAATTCATCCCCCATAGTAATTCATCCCCCATAGTAATTCATCCCCACATATAGTAATCATATAGTAATTCATCCCCCATAGTAATTAGTAATTCCCCCATATAATAGTAATTCATCCCCCTAATTAGTAATTCATCCCCCATATTAATTCATCCCTCATATTAATTCATCCCTCATATAGTATTTCATCCCCACAGTACTATTCCCCCCCAAGTAGTAAGCCAAGTCCCCCCTGTGTCAATTCACTTACCTTTGCTCCGCGCGTTCCTCTCGCCGTGTTCCCCGCGCCGTTCCAGTCTTCAGGGCGGACTGTGAGAGGAGCCTAGCTCCCTCCCCTCTGCACGTTCGTCACGCTGCCCCGCCTACACACATCCTGACAGCCACATCCGCTGGCCGGGATTAAAAGGTCCGCCGGGCCGTATACGGCCCCGCAGGCCGTAGTTTGCCCATTGCTGGTCTAGACAGTGCTGACTTGCCCTGTGCTGATCACATTTACTCTCCCAAGAAAAAAAAAACCTTTCTAGCAATACACACTACACTGAACATGTGCAGAATGGCTAAGGCTTCAGTCTGTCTTATCAGGAGATATGACGTGGACATTTGAACAAGAGGAGGAGCAGAGAAGAAAGGATCAAACAGCCTTTTTACCCAATGCAGAGGATTAACCCATAATGTTCCCCAGTAAGTATAACAAGGATTTTTTTTTACTGCATATACAGACTGATTTTACTGTTGTGGGTTTAGTAACACTTTAATGTTCTCTAGCACCTTGCCTCACTTTGGAGATACATTAACCATCTCCCTTTGATAACCAACACTTGTAGCTTTCAACCCTGGCTTTCATTAACAGCTGAAGTCCCCAGTCAGGAATCAATCAGAGTAATTCATGTGATCAATATGTGGGCACTATTAATAAATAAGATTTTAGTGAAGTTGCCATTGTTCACCTGTTTAATACTGTAACTGTTAGATACAATTACAGAATTAAAATGAATAATAATAAATTCTTTAACCCCTTGATGCCAAGGGACCGCATATTTGCGTACCCGACGTAAACAAACATGTGCCAAGAGCATGTGCCCTGCGCGCTTCCGGCACAGATCCCCGCGCCTCACGGAAAGCTCTTGATCGCAAGTAGCTTTCTGATCATGTGACCGCTGTGACAGCTAATCATGATGGTCACGTGACCTTAAACCCTGCCCTGCCTGTCGGCGTCAACATTCTGGAGAAACCCCTTAATAGGCCTGGAGGCACCAAGCGGTTAAAAAACATAAAAAACAATACATTGTTTTGACATTTGTCAGCCTATAATAAAAAGAACATGATTGTAATTAAACCACTGTCCAAGAAAGCCTTAGACGTTCTTAGAAAAATATATAAAAAATATTTAGTTCTGAAAATTAGTCATAGAGTTATTGTCAAGTTAACCGAAGCATGGTGGTGCTTCTAAATTTGGCTAGGCCAAACATAGGCATCTGGTCAAGAAAAATTAAACTGGCTTCTGCCAGTTAAAGTGATACTAAATGTAATTAAGAAAAAAACATAACAAACATACTTAAAACATGCAAAAAACATGCCGCGCTTCGTTTATTGCATGTTTTTTGTTATTTAGCACATTTTTATGCGTATGTGTAGGTGTGAGCAGCCTTTCAATCTAATCTAATTTTTTATTAATTGTATAGATTTTTAGAATTGCTCACAGATTTTCACATTTATATTTTTGATAAGAAACATATTACTTGCTCTGTGCACTGTGGTTTTGCACAGAGCAGTCCCAATCCTTTCTTCTCAGGTCCTTGCAGGCCTTTTGCTATGGGGGCACTAGTGTGTGTTTGCTCCCGAGCTCTACTCTATGCACCATAAGAGCCACAGCTCAGCCCCAGCCCCGCTCTCTCCTCATTGGCTTACTGGCTGTGATTGACAGTAGGGGGAGCCAATGGTTCCCAAATCTGCACCTCAGCCTATGAGGAAAGAGAGACCCAGGACAGCCAAGGCTCCCATGCACACTTGCGCCTCAGCCTATGAAGAAAGAGAGACCCCGGACAACCAAGGCTCCCATGCACACTTGCGCCTCAGCCTATGAAGAAAGAGAGACCCAGGACAACCAAGGCTCCCATGCACACTTGCGCCTCAGCCTATGAGGAAAGAGAGACCCAGGACAGCCAAGGCTCCCATGCACACTTGCGCCTCAGCCTATGAGGAAAGAGAGTCCCAGGACAGCCAAGGCTCCCATCCACACTTGCGCCTCAGCCTATGAGAAAGAGAGACCCAGGACAGCCAAGGCTCCCATGCACACTTGCGCCTCAGCCTATGAGGAAAGAGAGACCCAGGACAGCCAAGGCTCCCATGAACACTGTTGGATTGAGAAGGAACTCAGATGAGTATTGGTGGGCTGTGGGGGGAGTTGCTGCACACAGAAGGTTTTTTACCTTCATGCATAAAGTCTAAAAGTCGAAAATGCATAACTGAATAGGTGGCTCCAAAGCACAGCCAAAAAAGAGCACTATGATGTAAAGAAAAAAAGAAAAGAATCTGATCACTTCTAGGTCACACAGAACCTAGGTCTTCTAGATGCATCTTGGGAAATGTGTGTCATTGTGGTCATCCCCCTTAATTCATTCAGCCCTGGACTGAAGATGGAGAGGGACCCTGATAGCACTGATCTCCCAAGATGCAGTTGGACAGCCTAGGCACCTATCATTACCTTCACCATGTACAATTTTGTGACACTTTTTACAATAATGGTGGGCTCCCCACTGGACCTGTGCATTGCTTACTATTAGCTCTTAAGACCATTTTTACATCCTAAAAAAAGAAATATGGGCCATTAAATTGAAACTATAAAGTTTTTGTGTAATTTTATATTAGTTTCTCTTTTCAGCTTTTGTTTCATATCTGGTTTTTTTAACCTTTATAAGCAATATTTGATTACAAATAAACATTTAATACGTGATAAAGGATTCCCAAAGTGCTATTAAAAGCTTAAGAGACAGCACAGCAGAATCCATCTGCCTTAAGATACTGCTATGTCCGGTTCAAACATTAGACGGAGTTGGTGGATAATTATGTCACGTTTGTCATGTTTATGAGTCATCAACCTATGTGTTAATATTCAGTTAAAGCTGTTCAGCTCTGCAAACAGCATTTTCATCAAAGCATTCACAGAGCATTTAAAACTTGGAAAGGTGTCTAAAAACAGCACCTGCTGGTTTGCAAAATGCTAAATATTTATAGGCAGTGGTGTATTTAGGCTTTGGGCTGCCCTAGGCAGCACAAATATTGGCGCCCCCCCCCCCCCCCACAGTAAGAGCCTAACATTGACCAAGAACACCCCTGTTCCCCACCTGAGCCTTCCACTACCACTGTCCCCCTTACACCAGCCACCATCCCACATGGCGAGAGAGAGAAAGACACTCACCTTCACAGCTCCGGACATTCCCAAGAATGAGAGTCGGGCTGTGCAGACACTGTCATGAAACCCACAGCATCTCTCCGAACCCACCAGGTCCCCAACGAGAGTCGGACTGTGCATACACCGTCATGAAACCCACAGCATCTCTCGGAACCCACCAGGTCCCCATGCCGCATGTGCCTTTCTTCCGTCCCTTCTTCCAAGGGGCAGTGCTGCACCCCCCTGAAAAATGCCGCCTTAGGCAAATGCCTTGTGGTAAATACACCCCTGTTTATAGGCAGTTGTTCATTATAAAAATGTTCTGTGTAATTTCATTTTTTTTTAGTCTGACCATATAGTTATGTATAAAACCACTGTACATTTTCTTTAAAGAACAGGTTCTCTTAAAAATAAAAAATAGTTAAGTAACTTTCCATAGACATGAATGGGACCATATTCCAACAGTAAAGTCTATTAAATCTTTAGGAAGTTAGTATGCAGATGTGGACAGTACTGTAAAGACCGCAGGAGGCCATTTTCCCTAAAGGAAGGAGGTAAGTAGGCACCTACTGTAGATGGAGGGCATTTAGCTTAAAATATATTAGGGGGCTAGGATAGGGGGGATGAGGAGTTTTTATTTTAAAGTGAACTCTTCCTTTAGTAAAAGGCATGTCGCTAGTTTGTTATTTTACCTTACAAGCTAAGCATGGGCATCTTCTCTTAGCATAGGAAAGGTATTTATTTTTGGACTTTAGACCACTTTTAGCGAGTTTTGATACTGAGCAGATTCCAGTGTGTGGGAAACTTGCATTTCTGCTGACAGGAGGCTTTAACCAAAAAAGGCATAAAAACACTCCAAATGTAATTACGTATACATTGATTTATTCTCATGCCAAATGTGATTCAATG